TTTATATTTGTGTCCCCTAGTCCTACTGTTCTCATTGTTAAATATACAAAAAAAATGATACATCAACACTATAAATTCCCTTTACAATCTTAAATACCTCAATCAGATCCCCCTCCCTCTAACTCTAATGAGATGCTTGGCTTTTTTATTAATCAACCTCAACTGTGTCTGTCATATCCCAGTCAGCTTGATGAGACCTGGTATGGGGCAAAAGGCCTTGCAGGCACTGGATAGGGCAGATATAGTGTGGTTGATATTTTTCTCAACTTTTACTATTAAGTTCTTAGAATTAGAATTCTAAAAGAGAATTTTTTGTAATCTTTTTTTTTCCACCTAATAAGTTTTTATCAATCTTCTGACTTTATTTATTGTCCCTTTTTGGTATTAATGACTAAATGTTTTTTAGATTTGGTGGGTGACCAGTTATGTGGCTTCTGACTTGTTCGGATTATTTATATTTTCTTTTACAGTTGCGTTTATAGGTTTTTAGGCTGTACTTCTCCAGCTTAAGTTTAAAACATAAAATTCTGTGCTTTGATAACTGATTTCAAATTAAAGGATTAAAAGCAACTATATTCTTTAATTGTTCACATTTAAAAGTGGTCAATATAATTGATCACATTTAAACATGGTCAATATAATTGATTAGACTTTGCAACTCTCTAGCAGTAAGAGCAAGTTATAAACTTATAAATTTCATAATGATACTCCATATTATCATGGTGATGATCCTTTTTTATTAAATAAATTTTAAACATGATGAACCATCTTTATTTATATCTTTAGCCAGAAAAATGTAGGTGTGGTATGTGTCTGAATTGTTTTTTGTTCACACTGAAGGTTTTGTATCAGTAAAAGTTTATCTGTCTCTCTTTGTTAGGAATATGAATATATTCTTATTTGTTAAATTGTTAGCCCCAGAATTAGCCTTTCACAACTTTAAATTGGTAATATACTTACTGTTTAACATTATGTTATCAAATGTATCAGATATTTAAGTACAGTGAGTTTAGTGTGTCATTTTATTATGCAGGCTATTAACCTTATGTGTATGGGTGGGACTCAAGTTTGCATGCCATAGCCTTGTACACAGTGCCATTCAACATGGTATTATGTCAAAGTTATCATTTCATGTTAACCTAAGTTGCTGATTTCAGAACAGTTCATGTTAGAGTAGAGAAAATACCAAATTCAATATATAGGGATACTGAAAAACTTTAGATATGCATTCAGAAGGTTGTAGAGGTTATGCAAATGCAATTTTCAGTGTGTACAATGGACAAAGGTATTTTTATTCTTCACATGAACATCAACTTGCACTTCACTTTGCCAAAATCTAAGTCAGATTAACTTTGACATTTCATTAACGTATTTTTACTACAGAAACTTTGGTAGAACATCTCATATTTTCTGTACAACAAACTTGTACTGTGAACTAAAAACTTGCCACATTTCATGAAGATACACATCATTAATTCAGAATTATAGTCAACATTACTTCTCCAATATGGGGTTAGTCCAGTGAACTGACCCTTTGCACATTCATTTAATACAGTTGCATATTGTTTACTGGAAGTGATTGTAAGTTAGTGTTATGAAATCTGTATAATACAACAGTCTTGGATGATATGGGCATTTAATGTTCATTTGGTTATGCAATAAACAGATAAGAACCTATTTACAGTTTCATTGTTAGTTGCATTTGCTGTTTAATAATTGTAGTGTTAATAAACAATTATAGTTTCTTAACCATCTGTTGCTGTTGCAATTTATGTTAGCTATAATATCAGTTGTTATTTCAAACTATATATCATCAGCTCCAGTATTTCTTTGTATTAATTGCATTTTTAATTTAAGTAGCTGCTGTTTAACAATAAGTTTCATTTACAGATTATACTATAAACCAGAGTTGTTATTTTAAGCAATTGTTAACTGCAGTATTTTGTCTATTAACTATAGTGCTAATTGAAGCAGCTACTGTTTTTTCTTAAGTTGTTGTTACTGTTAAACAATCTATTGCTAACTAGAGTTGTCACAACAAACCATTGCCAGATGTAACTGCTGTTTATTAACTAGTAGTTGTATTGCAAATTACGGTTGTCTAGAAACTGTTGTTAGCTATAACTTCTGCTTCTTGACTAGTAGTTCTATTGCTAACTACAGTTGTCACAACAAACCATTGTCAACTATTAACTGCTGTTTCTTAACTGATAATTACATTGCTAACTATAAAACTTACTGTCAACAATTACATTGCTAATTAGAATAATTTGTTGGTTTCTATATTGTTATCACTATGTGCATTTCTATAGTACATTCCTACAAGACTTAGAAGACTGTGGGCTTGATCCTGTGGCTGTTGCTCGCTGTTTTGTGAAGAACAGCACAGGGTTCGTTATCTACACTCAATACTGTACAAACTACCCACGGTAAGTTTATCTTCTACCAGAATTTGACTGGTTTGTGAGTGTATTTTGGTATTTTGTTTGAAATAATTGCAGAATATAAAAATCAATGCTTTCTATTTTTTTATAATCAAAAAGCTATGTGTTCTAAAGAATAAAATTTTTACAGTTAGATGACAAAGAAGTTTTAGATTCTAATTTAACTGCTTCTTCTTAGTAAGTTAGATTTGTTTAACCAAAAACCTTAATATTGAGTGAGAAGATAATACTACAGAATTGAGATATTATTACTGAAATATAATTGAAATACAGTGTTAACTAACAGCAATTTTTTGAAGATTACAGAAAGAAGTGTACAAGTATTTGGCTAAGTTTGAAACAAATCAAAATGCTTAAAATAATAAGTTTAATTTTTCTGAATGAGGAACTGTAAACCACAACCCCAGTCTTAAGAATATTGACATAAATATTAATTTTTCTATAAGAGTTGATTTACCATACTGGTAATCATAGGTGTTTTGGTTCAGGAGGTTGATAACTATTTTTTTATGAACAAGGTCATTTAAATTGAGTCTTGTCAGCTATTTAAACTGAAGAACCTTCAGTAAAGTAAAGTAAAATAATGAGAATGTTAGTAATTCATACAGTTGAGACTTTGTTGCCTATTTGAATTCTCAGATTTGCCCATCAGAAATGATAGCTTCTGTAACTTAATAAGTAATAATCTATGTAAAAATATACAGACTGTTCTCTGACATTAAATATTTTTCCTTTAATAGTAGACTATTTGCCCTCTTACCAGAGTCTTCATCAGACAACAGTGTACTTAATAATACAAATCTGTTTATCTGTGCAACACTTTTTAAAGGCAGTTGTCTAAGCAACAATTCTGAAAATACTTGACATTTGATATAAGTTTATTTATGGATTTTTTTTTCCTTGCCAAAACACAAATTTCAGTAAAGGAAAGATATTGTAGAGCCCGAATCTATTATTTTATTATCTACTCCCAATGCAGAAGACCACTTTCATTGAATTCACAATTTATCAGTGCCGGTTGGAAGAGAAATGTTGTTAACCATGCAGAAAGTGCTGAAAATAAATTATGCCAAGTACAGAATTAACAGACAAAGATTTAATCTTTTACATAAATTTAAGAATTGAAACTTTTTTCTTTGTAGTTGTTTAAGGATATTTAAGATAAAAAAATTACTTGAATATAATACAAATAAGAAGAAAAGTACAATCATAGATATAATATAAAAAGTAAAATGCTCATATTTCAAATGATACATTATAGAATTATTTGTCATGAATAACACACAAAGTTTTACATTGATATTATGACATGATATATTTGGTATCTTTGATAAGTGGGGTCTAAACAGCACTGAGTGGTGGGTTGGCCATTGTTTTTGTTAATACTCACTAATGGTTTACTGTCTTGTGCTTGAAAATGCAATAATTTCTTTAATTTTGATTTGTTTGATGGTTTTTCTCTGTATTATTTTTACATTTTTTAAAGTATATTTTGTAGTAATTTTCCTGAATGTGAAAGGCTATAACCAATGTATTTTTAGCACAGTTTGTAATGACTCTTTTGTGTTCTTTGAATCTTGCCCATATTGAGCATTATATTTCTACAATGTATTACTTATTATACTCAAAGTGAGTCCTATAAA